ATTGTATGAGTCGTGTCGTGCAATCCCAGAAACGAAAAACTTCAAAAAGACTTAGTAAAGATAGAATTAGAAAGATTATGTTCATCAGCAAGATTCCTTCTCATTTCTCAAAATGGAGTTTACCACGAACCCCAAGCAGAAACGCCAAACTTAATTTGGTCATCGAATGTATACCTCTAGAGAATGTACGCGAGAAGGTTTTTAATTACTATTGTAAACATAAAACCTATGTAATTCTTCGAATTTACGGATCTGTACAATGAAAGACTACGTAAGTTCAGTAAGGAGTAAACCTGAAACTTTATTGAAAGACAAACGGTGCAGACATCGCCGCGACCGCACACTACTGCTTATGAAGAAGAGCCCCGCTGTGGCTCGAAACTAGTAGAGCTTTTCTAAGTACATTCATGTGAGTAACCCGCGATTTTTAGTTAATTTAGTATATCTCACGATAGCGCATCGACAGGGAACTACTCGAAGAAGCTGCCTTAGTTCAATCCTGGGTCTGGGAGTCGATGACGGACGGCCCCTTCGACGTCGAGACGATGGCGCTGTGGTTCCGCGGGGCGATGACGCAGATCTGCGACGCGTCCATGCCCCGTGTCCGCCAACAGTCCGCAAGGCGTCAGGTGTACTGGTGGACGGACGAGATCGCGCAGTTGCGCGTAGCGTGTGTTGCGGCTCGCCGTCGGTACACCCGATACCGAAGACGACGTCGTCGGGATTCCAGCGAGGAGGACGCGCTGTACGAGGTGTACCGCGCGTCTAAGGAGACTCTGCGGCTAGCCATCACCGACTCAAAGTCGCGTGCCAGGGAAGAGCTGCTGGGGTCCCTAGATCGGGATCCGTGGGGGCGGCCCTACCGTTGGGTACGGGGCAAATTGCGTCGCTGGGCGCCTCCACTAGCCCAGAGCATGCAACCCCAGTTGCTAGAGGCGGTTGTATCGGCTCTCTTCCCAGAGCGAGCAGAGCACGCTCCACCGGCGATGGGTTCGCCGTCAGCCACAGACTCTCCAGGAGAAGAGAGCACCGACGTCCCCGAGGTGACAGAAGCAGAGATGAGAGCAGCCGTGTTGCGACTCCGGGCTAAGAACACAGCGCCCGGACCCGACGGCGTCCCTGGCCGAGCTCTCGTCCTGGCTCTGAAGGTGCTAGAGCCCCAGCTGAGAGGGCTTCTCACGTCATGTCTCGAGCGAGGTCAGTTCCCCAGTGTGTGGAAGGAGGGGAAACTGGTCCTGCTCAGGAAGGAAGGGCGCCCTGCGGACTCGCCATCCGCGTATCGGCCCATAGTGCTGCTCGACGAGGCGGGCAAACTTTTCGAGCGTATTATCGCAAATCGCCTCGTCAGCCACTTGTGCGGAGAAGGACCGAACCTGGACGACCATCAATTTGGCTTCCGTGAGGGGCGCTCCACCATAGACGCCATCATGCGCGTGAGGACCCTGGTGGAAGAGACGGTGTCCCAGGGTGGGGTGGTGCTGGCGGTGTCTTTGGATATCTCCAATGCATTCAACACCCTACCCTGGAGTTGTATTCGAGAGGCACTAAAATACCATCGCGTGCCTCTCTACCTCCGCCGTACAGTAGGGGCTTTTTTGGAGGGCAGGTGTGTCACCTATCGGGGACGTGACGGTGCCGGTCGGCACCTCATGTCTTGCGGTGTTCCACAGGGATCGGTCTTAGGGCCGCTTCTGTGGAACATTGGGTACGACTGGGTGCTGAGAGGTGAGCTCCCTTTGGGCGCTGACTTGACGTGTTATGCGGACGACACGCTCGTAACCGCCCGGGGGAGCTCGCACAGGGAGGCGACGTTGATAGCCACGGCTGCGGTGTCACAGGTTGTGAACCGCATCCGGCGCCTGGGCCTGGAGGTGGCCCTGAACAAATCGGAGGCCATGGTGTTCCACGGCCCCCGACGTGCGCCGGCGCCGGGATCGCATATCGTGGTCAGCGGGGCTCGCATAGCTGTCGAGTCCACCATGAAATATCTGGGATTGGTGCTCGACAGTCGATGGGAATTCGGACCCCATTTCCGGCGGCTGGCGCCCAAACTGATGGGTGCGACGGGCGCGCTTTCAACGTTGCTTCCCAACTTGGGGGGCCCGAGCGCCGCCTGTAGGCGGCTGTATGTGGGAATCGTGCGATCCATGGCCCTGTACGGGGCCCCTGTGTGGGCATTAGACTTGACGGCCAACACTCTCGCTATTCTGAAAAAACCGCAGAGGGCGATGGCTGTCAGAGTCGTCCGCGGGTATCGCACGATTTCCTACGAGGCGGCTTGCGTCCTGGCCGGATCCCCGCCCTGGGACCTAGAGGCGAAAGTACTCGCGTCACTATACCGATGGCGCGAGGAAGAGCGGACACGGGGCTCGAGGCCGGTGCAGCGCCAAATCGAGCGGCGCCGAGAGGAGCTCCGTCAGGTCTTAGTGGCGGAATGGCGGCAAAGGCTTCTGCGCCCCACCGCCGGCTTTACTACCGTCGAGGCGATCCGGCCAGTACTCGACGACTGGCTCGGGAGGAAGCACGGCTCCCTGTCGTTTAGGGTGACGCAGGTGCTGTCGGGGCACGGCTGCTTCGGCAAGTACCTGTGCCGCATAGAGAGGGAGCCGGACGCCCGGTGCCACCACTGCGTCCATTGCGGGGAGGACACGGCGCAACACACGCTCGCCGAGTGTGTAGCTTGGGAGGAGCAGCGCCGTGTCCTCAGAAATGAAGTAGGAAGCGATCTGTCGCTGCCGGCCGTAGTGCGGAAGATGGTGGACAGCGCAGAGTCGTGGGACGCGGTGGTGTCTTTCTGCGAGGATGTGATGTCGCAGAAGGAAACTGCGGAACGGGAGAGGGAGATCTTACTGACTTCCTTTCCCAACCGCAGAAGGCGCACCGGGCGTAGGAGAAGGGCCGACAACGCCCTCTTCCGGCCCCCATGAATGGGTCCAGGGGCGAAGGACTTGGGGAAGTCCCCGCCCCCGAATCGATAGACCCGAGTCGAAGGCGCGCGCGGGTGTCGGCGTACGCCTTTGAGGCGATGCACGTGGTGCACTGCTCCGTGCAGGTGACGGGGCCCTGATCTACGGGCCGGCACTGTAATGCGGGGCTGCGGATGAATTTGGACTCCCGCGGCCCCGCACGCACGTGCGAGGAGGCACTGGGGTGGTTTTAGCCGGTAAGAGTCCGGCACACCCCTCCGCCTTTCCCCAGGCGGAGGCAGTCCATGAGGATTTCCCCCCATTAAAAAAAAAAAAAAAAAAAGTATATCTCACGATAGTTACTATAGAACACCAGATTTAATCGTTTTTACCCAGTTTTGGTAGGTACAAATGAAATCCTTACATAGCTCTGTTAAGATGCGGTTTAAAACATTCTTAAAACTGAAGTTATGTACAAGATTTGAATTAATGGCTCACGTCCTTCTTATAGTCTATCGCTGCTCACTCTATCTGAAAATAATAGGTAAAATTATTATTTGTACCATTTTCTGTAGTGTAGGAAAAAAAATTAGGTACATTTTAGTAAAATGAAGGTGCAGAAGAGTTATGAAATTTCTCCACCTTGGGGTTAAAAAAGGTAGATTTTAATATTTCCCTTAACTTACGTAACATTCAAAATACATTATATGTTTATCATGCATCATATCCACTCCCCTGAATTCGACCTCAATTGTATTAGCAAGTTGAAATTATCATTATGCTACTAATGTAATTATAGCGAATATTTTGATGAAGATAAATGGCAGCAGAATTGTCGAAGGCACGCGTCCTTCAAAGGGCGACATAACGAATAATTGCCCTCAATGCGCTTCAGTGAACCAATTCAGTTCACTACCAACTACCAGCTCGCTGATTGATCAATCGTACTGATGACGGCATACCGTCATTATACGAGTATCGATGTCTGTATGAAATTAGGTTCAGGTTTTATATTAATTACAGCAAATTGGGTTATTGAATTCGTTAATTTGGAAGTCGATGTTTGATGTTAAAGGGATCCTTAGGACGGAAAATGTGTAGTGTCATGGTAGAACTAGATATGTATCTAGAAAATCTTGTTAAATACTAAGTGTGGATAAATCCATAAAAAAAGAAAGAAATGCGGCAATTACACAGGCGAGTGTGAATTACCAACGATACCGGTACTACTCTACAGACTAAGCTATAAGGTTGTATTTTGGATAACTGTGGCATTTTCAATTTCAGACGTGGAGTACCTACGTCACAAAGCCTCATTATATGACGCTCAATAATGAAGTTAATGTCACTGCTGTGTAGGGAACAGTGATCAAAAACAAAAGTAATAAAATAAAAAAAGGAAAGTTAAAAGGACTAGGATGTAGGAGTTTATATCTCTCTTATGTTGGAGAAATTACCACTATCAATAAGTCAAGGAGTTCTGTAATAAGTTACAACAGATTTCTTTACATAGCGCATACAAGGATACCTATAGAATAATAAGTAAGTACCCGTTCGCCCCTTATCCGTTCAGTAGTCCCGCGAAAGCCTTACCGGGTAAACGCGACCCAAAGTTGGAAAGGACGTAACAAACCGCGGCGTCGGCAGTGTTAGAAGTAACTTTTCGAACCATTAATTAGTGTCCAAAAAACACCATAATCTAAACTTTATCATCACTCATTTAGGGGTTAAGATAGATTAAATATTTTTTTTGTTTTTTTATATAAATTAGTTTAATTGATATCTTCAGAATGTATGGATGGCTACTGGAGAGCGTCCAGCATTTTATTGTGGTAAGTTTTAATACCTTAAAATAATTACCTACATATGTTTCTAAACAAAAGAATAAAAAATAAGTAGTTCTTACTGCATGGGTATAGAATGTTATTTTTTGTTAATCTGACAATTTTAACTATGATTATGAGAGTCATAGTTTAGCCCATGATTTTAACTAACTATTAGTAATCATGTTTTCCTGTTGATTGACTTACAATTGCTGCCATTGTCAAAATTGAATAACCTACTTACAACTGCTAATCACGCGGTATTATGTATAATAAAATTGAATTTTCGGTTCATTTCTGTATTATTTTTATCCCTTGCATTAACAACCTTTTAGTGGACAGATTGTTAAGATAAAGTCAAACACTATTATACTTCAACCCCACAAATCTCTTAAAAGTACAACGGAAACGGAACAACACTTTGTGTGATCCACAAATTGTTGTTTCGGGTCTGGGTGTCACTGTATATGTGAACTTGTATGTTTGTAAACGCACCCACGACACAGGAGAAAATCCTAGTGTGGGGCAACGTTTTATTAAAAAGAAAAAAAAAGTCATCACAAGTTAAAATCATCTAAGCTAAAGGTGAAGATATAATAATCCAATTTCCTACTATCCTACTAATATTATAAATGCGAAAGTTTGTATGTTTCTATGTATGTTTTTTACTCCTTCCCGTCAAAACGGCTGAAGAGATCGAGATGAAATTTAATATAGTTATTTTTAGTCTATTTTAAATGTGTTCATAGCCTAATTTTTACGCGGACGAATCCACTAGCAGAAGTTATGGAATGGGAAAGTCCCTAAAGAATGGGTAATAATGGTAATGTGTTACATTAAAACAAATTCCTTTTTTCATTTCTCTTTAAAAAACGTTGCCCCACATTAAGATTTTCTCCTGTGTCGTAGGTGCGTTTACAAACATTACAAGCGAATCCACGACACGTTACGCGGCAGCCGGTTGCCCAGCTACTGCACCAACCGTGCCGTCATCTCTTTAAGAATAACTAACGGCAAAACTGGTTACAATAGTACATAGGTACTACTTCACTCCTTCGATTGGCTATAAAAGCTGTATAAATTATGTTCCCATTCTGTGGTAAACAAATCAAATAGAGAGTAGCCCCCTCCCCCTATAATCCCTTTATTCTCGAATATATTTTACGACGAGACTGAACACACAAATAAAAGTAATCTCAATACTATTTTATTTTGTTTTGATTCCTCTATATTTTACAGGTTCAAGATTTTATTACATTCCGTCGACTGGTCGGTAATAATGTAACTATTGAGCGGAAAACAAACATTTGGCTTTGTATAAAACACTATAGCAACAACGCAGCACTAAAATTACTTCAGTTATAGCTGCAAAATTCCCTTTATCAATAACTAGCGAACCGCCCCGGCTTTGCACGGGCGCATGTTTTATATAAACCTTCCTTAAGAATCACTCTATCTATTAAAAGAAACCGCATGAAAATCCGTTGCGTAGTTTTAAAGATCCAAGCATACATAGGGACAGACAGACAGCGGATAGCGACTTGGTTTTATACTATGTATATGTAGTGACTAGCTACTTTCGCGGGGTTTCACTCCCTCTGCTCGGCGCCTATTAATCGTAGCGTGATATTTTATAGCCTATAGCCTTCCTCGATAAATGGGCTATCCAACACAAAAATAATTTTTCAAATCGGACCAGCAGTTTCGGAGATTAGCGCGTTCAAACAAACAAACAAAAAAACAAACTCATCAGCTTTATAATATTAAATATTATATAGGTAGATTATTAGATAAGCATGTCTCTGTACTGAATCAATCCTTACTTTTTAACTGAATACTAAATTACTTGGTTAACTGTACCTATCGGGTTCGATTATATATTTCGGTCTTTAGATTCTCAGATATTATTTTAACGACAAATTGTGTTCGCATTTTGTGGTGAATGGCAATTGACTCGCCCCTTATTCACGTTCTAGAGGTTGAATGCTTTTCCTTCAAGTAGAAGGCAATTATTGTTCTACAGAAGGTCCTACATCGAAATTTTCAATTTGTTATAGTCATAACATAACATAACTTCACGCCTTTTATCGCCGAAGGGGTAGGCAGAGGCGCACATTACGGCACTTAATGCCACTGTACAATGTAACACCCACTTTTCACTATTTATGTTATGAGTCCCATGTAATAAGGGGTCAGCATATTTTCATATACCGGGCACATTTCCAGACTCAGTGGTACCACTGAGTCTGAAAATGTGCTAATGAAATGCTACTGAGATTTAAAAAACCCAGTAATAGTTTGTCCGACCCGGGAATCGATCCCGAAACCCCTTGCCCGGCAGTCTTGCACTTGCGACCACTCGGCATGAATGAGGGAGAGATAGTACAAGTATACAACACCGAAAACATCAGATAGTCAATTATTGTGTAGTCTCTTTGTTTTAAGTATTCAGTTATTAACCGACTTCATGAGACTGACAATTTCAAATGTACAAAGCCCCAACTTAAGTTATCTTATTTGCTTCTTACTACATGCGTACATACACAATAGTAAATATGTCTTCCAGACATATTGCGTCCCAGGCTTGCAATACAAAAAGGCAGTACTAAGCTCTTTAGCTGTAATAACTGGGCTTGTTACCCATTCAAGTCACATTTATGACCCGAACAAGAATATTGAGGCAGGCCCTAAGGCCCTTACAAACCAGATTACTTAGACACTGTGTATCGTACCTATTTCCATTTTTTCTAAGTCAAAGGAAAGTATTACTTTGCCTCTTTTATAGCGCCGTAGAGTAATGGAAGAGCAATGAAAAAAGCAGACTTAGTCTCTTGAAACGACTGTTATACCTGGCTACTATAAACTTACACGCAGAACACACACATTGACACGAAGGACATCTGTCGCGTGACATTGCCTGTCATTACACTTCATACATTACGGTGTTGCAAGTACATGCACACATAAAAACACCACTGACATTTTACTACTTCAATCATTTCTAAGTGACATTACGTCCGCCTTTTTTTTAACATCCATGTGGTAGAGTATAATAGGGTAGATGCCTAATTTTTATTTTAATGTCCGTCTAGTACATTTATTTTAAATCATTTTATTTTCTTGTAGAAACGAATACTTTCGACGATATATTGATATGAAATGTCGCGTGACGACACTTCTATGTACATTGTATTAGAAATGACGTTTTAGCCCCCATTCCTAAACGTTGATTTGTTTTATCTAAGTATCATTTTATTATACAACAACATAAAAAATACGTTTCTAATACTATGTCATTAACTGACGGACTATTTACATTTTTAATTTTCGTACCATGTCATCATCCCAATTGTCAACAACTCTTCCCGCGGGTGTCGTGCTGCGAAGAGCTGACTAAGATACTACACATATGACTAAGACCCGGCAGCTAAGCTCTCTGTGTTAAATCCTAGTCAAGTTGAGTAGGTATCTTCAATCGTTAACGCTTACCGAAACAAATGTAGCATAAGAATTTTTATCATCATCGATAAGTCGATGATCAAGAATGTAAAAAACACTGTAACTCACAGCCTAGTCAACTCGTTACAAGCCAGAAAGTCATTTAAACGAACAAACAATCGTAACTACTTATTTTTATTACTTTTCCCTTAACTTGATACGCGTGAAGGGTATCAACGCCACTTAATTATCTGTATGGAACGATAACGGTAGGGAAGCAATTAATTAATAGCTTACACACTGACGCAGAGGGCGCTGCAATCGAATTAGATACACCCCATGATGTTTCATGACTGCAATATTGTGTGATCGTTAACTTTTTTATTTATTGTTCTTTGGTTTTCTTTCTATCTTTTTTCCTTGGTTTTATCATTAAATGGACATTAAACACTATATTTTAATAGTAAATTTTCCTGAAAATAATGAATATTGCTCAACAATTTTATGCATGCTGGGGGATCTCGGGTTCGGACCGATATTGTTCAATATATTATAAATCTACGCAAGCAGAATAACTCTACAATAGAAGGTCGCCACCGTATCGAACAGTAATTTAAACTTCGTGAAGAAGTTCTAAATTGAAATATCGAAATAACTTTAATAATTATTATCCGAATTTTGCGTGAAATTGCTTAGTCAAATTAAAATCGGTAGATTGTATAGAGTTGGTCGGTATTAAAATCATTTTCATCTATCGTACTTTTTATGGTACAGACTAGCGTCTGCCTGCGGTTTTGCCAGCATTGCTATGAGATAAAAAGTAGCCTAAGTATGTTTTATTCTATTCCAAACCATAAACTATCCCTGTTCTAAATTTTATACCGATCACTTCAGCCATTTTGACGTGATTGAGTAATAAACATACACACGAAATTTCACATTTATAAAATAATTAATAATAACATATCATAACATAACATAACATAACATCACGCCTTTTTATCCCCGAAAGGGTAGGCAGAGGTGCACATTACGACACTTAATGCCACTGTACAATGTAACACCCACTTTTCACTATTTATATTATGAGTCCCATGTAATAGGCGGTCAACCTATTGCCATATATCGGGCACATTTCCAGACTCCGTGCTACTACTGAGATTTTTAATACTTTGCCCGGCCCGGGAATCGAACCCGAGACCCCTTGCCCGGCAGTCGCACTTGCGACCACTCGGCTAACGAGGGAATCGAGGCATAATAATTAATAATATAAGAACGTAATTTGTTATTACTACGAAGAGGAACTTTATGAATTTTATTTAGTTGGCGGAGAAACCATTATTTGAGATTCATAATTATAACGACAGGTGCGGATTGGATGCACTATTTCATATGAACAGCACTCCTTCCTTCTTATTCTGCCTTTCCCCTTCTGAAAAATAAAAGACGTGATGTAAGTATTGTGTTATTACATAATACAAAAGCATAAACTACCAACCCCGGATGTTTGTTGTGTGTCCATTGACACGTAAACGAGTATCAACATATGTGAAGAAGTGAAATAATGAAGTTATAAGGACCCTAAAGTGTCTTTCCAGTAAAGTAATAACATTGACAGATTGTAATAGAATAATATACATTGAAAAATGTACAATTTGAATATGAATACTTACTATTTTTTATAATAACTAACGTGAGAGGTACTACATGAAAAATTGCGGGGTCGTCGCGCAGCCAGCGGACATCGCCGCGACCGCGCACGCTGCTGCATGAAGAAGAACCCCTCTGTGGTTCGAAACTAGTAGAGCTTTTCTCAGTATATTCACGTGAATACTTAATACGTATTAAATCAAAATGGCTGCAGTTATATGGAGCATCCTCCATATTTTATGATCTACCTGTCCCCAGGGCCCCAGTGTAGATTGTTAGTCTATTACCACAGTATGCTTTACATTTCGATAACTCCAGTATCACCTTAAAAATATCTAGTTATTCATCTTAAAAATATTAGTTATATGCCTATCGATGGTAAAGAATGACTACCAGATAAAATTGTACCAAAAAGCAAAAACCACTTTCACAATCTTAACCAAAAATATGAAAAACGAAAGCGCCCATTTCATTTGGTATGTAGGATAGTATTTTAAAGACTGGTCTGATATTAAAGTCAGCTGGGATAGCTTTCAAGGAATATATTATTTTCTTTACAAAAATTCCAATTATAATCCTCTTTTCACTTCAGTCGAGAATATTGCGATGAATACAAATGAACTTCACGAAAGAATTTCAAATCTTTGTTACAATTAAAACGTCTGGACATTTATCTAGTCAAGTGCTAAGAAATTTTCAACTAAGACAAATGGCGGCGCTTCCAGAACATTGTTTTGAAATGTCTTAAACTCTTAACAGTTTGTCTTCTACGGTAAAGTTCAATATTTTTATACTTTTGTCAGTCTATAATAAAATAAAGAAACTTCGATATTATTATCTCTCATCTTTTTTTTGCTCAAAAATTAATAGAACAGCTGTATCTACTTTCTCAGTTTTGCCGAAAAGTTAGAAATAGTGTTATGAAAAAAGTTTTTAATAAATGTTTCTACTGAACTACCTACAGCTTTTGCCAAGTAATTCAAGTCTAAGTTACACTCAATATAATAGAATACGACACAAACAACAACAGTTATTTTTGCTACCAACTTTAATTCACAGCTGGCCAATCGTCACCGCACCGTTGCGAACAGAATAGTCGCAATGGACATCACGTCACGCGCCTTATTACGAAATTAATATCAACAGGCCATTGACTACGATCACAGAATACTAAGCAATAATTAGACCCATTCACACCATATTTGGAAGAAATAAATACATTAAATCATTACAACACGTTACTATTGCCAGTCAGTGGAATGTTATTTAACTAGTGTCATCTTAATTGTGCTGTGTATTCTTTGCAGGAAGAATGTGGCGAAGAAATATGGGAAACTATACTCCGGGAGTCTGGGGCCAGGAATACCGCCTTCAGTGCTATGCAGGTACAACCAACCCTACATTTAATTACAGTAGCATTCGCCATCACAAAGTTGTTTGTTTAATTTTTCATACTTTTTGTTATTAGCAATATCCAGATGCATTAATGCTGCGTCTAGCGAGCGCTCTTGCTCGATTGATCACCAGGGATACAAACAGTCCCGCCCCATCCAGACCAAGCAGTCCTGCTCCTAGGAAACAGTCAATAAAAACAAAGCCAAACTGGCGAAGCGCTTCAGTTCACACCGACAATAGAACACAGAGTTTCAAATGTCCATTCACAGCAACTAACGCCTTAAAAAATGTCACCAAAAAGGAAATAGAGGCTTACAAATCGTCGGAAGAAATAAGATCACCCATAGCGGCGTCCACAGGAAAAATAAACGAAGTTAGAATCAGTGAGGAAGCTGAAATTGTCGCCAGAGAGTTCCATAGGAGAAGTCTGGGTATCAAATTTGAAAATCACAAAGTTAAGGAAACAGTTGAGGAACCAATACCAGAAACAAACCAAACAGAAGTCCCTGATTCAAGTGAAAATGTTGAACCAGAAGCAACAACTGTTGAAGCAGCCTCCAGCCAAATCGAGATGCCGATGTCTGAACCAGCCTCTCCAGAAACAGAAACTGCAAAAAGGAACTCTATTCTGAAGTCTTCAGCTCGTAAAACTAGTTGCACTTCTGCTTTAGAGGTGTACAAACGTCGAGGGTCCATTATTCCCCCTCGACCTCGTATGAATAGCCTCAGCGTTGTAAGCGAAGACAAGCTGTACAACATGAGAGAAAAGTTCGGCACTCCTGAGAAGGTGATGCACTTTTTCGGAAGGTGTTTCGTCAAGTTCTTCAGTAATTATGGGTAAGATTGATATAGATACTACAATAATGAGTATAACTAATGATAACATAACACACTCTATAATATTTTTGGAACGTAATATGCTACATAATTTGAAATTTTTTTTAATTACTTCTTTATGTAAAGTAGTATGAGCGATCCGAGCAATATTGTTAATGAGAGCTAATAAAACCAGTAAACAACTAACTAATATTGTACTTGCAAATGTTTGCTTATTATACTAAATTTAGGTACTTTATACTAAATAAAACAAACGCTTTCATTAACCTTAAAAACATCCTACGCTTGTTACGATAGACCCTCTATATTGTTCATTTTTATTTGATCCTAGCTGACTAGCTCTTAGACGAAAAATGAACGAAAAAGATTTTAAGCGAAAATTACCCCTTTCGCGATAAACGGAGCTAATCTTTTATATTTTATTCATTGGCTCAAGATAAAAGAAAGATCCAAGGTTAAATAGGAAAGTTACAATCTAGTTTTTTCGTTAAGCATTTTCTTTGTCTGTCGCTTTTGGTCCGCGCCAATGCCCAACAACAAGCTGTCAATCAAATGTTGCGGGTCGTGACGTCAAATAGGGTAAAGGGGTAAATATATACAGGGGTTGGGGTAAAATTGGATACGAGTTTAAGGGCGCAAATCTTTCAAACTTTCGTAAATACGTGGGTGGTAAAAATAATGCAATTTTAACTTCATTAAAAAGAGTAAACAAATAGTACTTACTCCTTCTAATTATTATACTCTAATTCTTCTATCTGACTTAATAGTAAACACATTTATTTATTAAAAAGAACCTGGAAACCAAATCAATAACGGCAATATTTTACAAAATCTTTTTTTGATTTCCTCTAGTTACGATAAAATGATCCGTGCGACAGGACGTTACTTCTGCACGTTCCTGCAGTCAGTGGACAACATACACCAGCGTATGAGATTCACATTCCCGCGCATGCGCTCTCCCAGCATGCAGCTCACTCGTGCGCACAGGCACGGTGCCGAGCTTGTATACAGCAGTGGAAGGACTGGGTTTACACATTATCTTATGGGTAAGATGAACAGATAACGCTAGGTTGATTTGTTGCGAAGTATCGTGATGGCTGGTCAAACATCTCTATACTAATATTATAAAGCTGAAGAGTTTGTTTTTTTGTTTGTTTGTTTGAACGCGCTAATCTCCGAAACTACTGATTCGAATTGAATAATTCTTTTTGTGTTGTATAGTCCATTTATCAAGGAAAGCTATAGGCTATAAAACATCTCACTACGACTAATAGGAGCCGAGCAGAGCGGGTGAAACCGCGCACAGTGTTAGATAACTCTGGCCCTCGAAAGCCTTTTGAAAATGTGTATCCCCTTTTCATGACGAAAGTTTTATAACAGTGCTACGTTTCAGGACAACTATACGAAATAGCCGAAGACATATTTTCGTTGAAGCTGAAAGTTTCGGTGGTGAAGGAAAGCATGGAGGGCAACTACTATGTAGCGGTACTGAGACTGGAGTTCGATAACAGTGATTATGTAAGTATACTTCTATTTTTAAAACGAGGCTTATTGTTTGTCTACAGGTAGGTCTATAGGTAAACATTAGCCTTAAGAGTTCTGTGAGTTCAACCTGTTGAATTCTGTACTACCGAGCTTAGGTTCTTACAACTTTTACTATGACCGAAAAACTATTTAAGGCTGAAGGCAAATCTTCCGATAGCTTCTCAATGAACATTGACCGCGTCGAAGATTATTTTGATCGTGATTTTAGCGTAAGGATTTCTTTAAAGTTGGTAAAAAGTTAAAATGAGCATAGGAATTTTGTCTTTAAACTGTCAAACACCAAGCGGTCACCGGTGACCGCAACCTATTGCTATATAATTGTGTCTATAATGACAGTACTCGACGAGTTAAATCATACACTTTGAAGTTCAAGTTCATAGAAATAATGGGAGTGTAAATAAAAACGAATAGATAAGTTTTTAATGTCACTGTTAAACATTTACTTGGGAAAACCTAGATCCAGGTAGTTGAGAAATATGTAACAGGTGGTTGAGAAATATGTAAGAATTATTGATGAAATCATAAGCTGCTAATGATATAACTCCTTTCCATTTCATAAGTATAACTACTACACACTTCTTAGACAGTATAATAAATCAATTTAATACAACACATAAAACTCAAACAAATTATTATCATCTGTTCCGTTATGTCAATATCAAATTAGCCGCGGTCTTACATTACAAGCTTCACACTTAATTAGGGGCAATTACTTGAGACGTGGCCATAAAACGTGATATCGACGTATCGGTTCAATTAATTTGTATTTTCTGTCAGTGAAACTTGCGCAGTTATCTTTTCTCTGTGGTTTCGCTCTTGACTGAGCGGTCGTGGTTACGTTGAGGCGGCCATTAGTGTTGGAGGTGGTTACTGCTTTCCTCACGATCTCCCACCATCTCTCCTTGTTTGTGGATTGTCTTGCGCAGTCTGATACTGGGTTCCCGTTGCCGATTTGACTTGATCAGTTCAGCTTTGACTTGATAGGTCGCCTCGTGATCGGATTCCATCTCCTTTCCCCTGAACGACCAGTCGATGCGCGGTAAAAGTTAAAGGAAATAGACGTTAGATTTCAGTTTAATATCAGGAAGATGGCAATCTCATAATATCAAGACATTTTAGAAGTTTTTAAATTGAGTAAAAATATTCAACAGTATTGAAAAGTAAATATTATGTAGGGTCTTACTGCTTCTGGTTTCTTTCTTCCTATTTAACAGTTTTTACTTGGTTTTTTATAAGAACAACGGCAGAAGACATCCTCTGTATACCATGCAAAAACAAGAAGAAGAAATTTTTAATTGATTTACGCAACACAACAAAACAATAAGAGAAGAATCTATTAAGAACCTTGACAGATTAGGATATCTTCATGTGCTGCTGACATCTTTACGTCTTGATATCTTACAAAAGCAATTTCCGTTTAAATCGTTTACACAAACTTCGTCTTCAATAAGACTTTATCTGATTAGATTAATGAACTTCCATCTTTGTTTATTATAGATTTTCTTCGGCCTATTTACTCCATAGATATATAAAGTGTTCGCTTCATTGTTCTTGTTTACTGTACTTATAATCTTGTGTCTAATCCATATTACATGACAGTCTTCATGAAGATGATTAGAGGTTCGCAGACCTTCAGTAATGTCAAGGACATAAAGGATATATTCTTGTGATTAATCTTTATCTTATTTGTCTGATACTACTTGCAATCATTTTTATCTGAAAAAAAAATGAAAAATTGTTCCTGAAATGACATCATGAAAATCAATTTGAAATTCAAGGTTCTCCGGTTATTTGATGACTGTATGAGACGACTGTTGTAATGTACAACTATATAATACATATGCATAGAAACATTATACAAGGTACATGGGATAAGACCCAAATATACTTGGTGAAAGTTGTCACCTTAGAGAAATTAAAACTGCGATACTGTTTTGTTATTTCTTATTATCATTATTCAACATCAAGGATGCTTACAAAATAAATCAGTGCCCTACAAACATTTACGAACAATTGAAATCTCAATACATTTTTCTGTTTAAATCTTCAAACAAACAATCTTAAAGCCAATTCCATTGCAATACAATGTTGAAACAAAACAAATACCTACTTGAGAAACAAAGAGTGCAATAAAATACAGAACAAAATGGTCGATATTTCGCTTTGTAATGAAACAATCTCGTTTCAACGTATTTACTGGAAACAGCTGTTCAGAACCATCTATTATACTATACCTTTCTAGTTCTACCTGTTACGCCACTTGATTAAACCTCTCCTAATTAAGTTAATTCATTTTGACTGGATCTTCATTGCAATTTTTTGTAAACTTAATACTTTCAGCTGGTGTTCGGTTCAGATTCCTTTTTATTAGACTTCTGTCTGGGGTTACCTATACAGTACACTCGCCTTACCTCGACCCGGCAATTTCCACAATTGACTGGCCGGTCGAAGTTCTTGCCATAAACCTTCATAAATTATAATAGAAATTATAAACTTCTAAAGTAATTTACAACTCGCAGAACTTAATCTTGGTATAAAATTTTAGACAGAGGATTTTAAGCCTATTTCGTTGTTTTCTTGCGTTAAACAACTTATACCTAATTTAAGAAAACAACGAAAAAAGGTACAATGAAAATTAGTATTGAACAATGAAAGCTAACTAAAAGGAAAACTGTGTTATTTTATTCGCATGTTATAAAGAAGAATACTCCTTGGGTATTACAGTCATAACTTTATACTTTATTACACATCATCTATACGTGGGAGGCAGAACCCTAATGTTCAGTGAGGCGTGTATACGTACTAAGTCTTAAAAGTAAATGTGAGGACCTTTCATACTTAGTATTAAGAATACCCTAGTTTATTAACCGAGAATGTTTCAAAATGGAAAGATCATTTTGAATCTTAAAGGAATATTTTTTGACGTGCTTTCAATGAACGGTCATAATTATTTAAAGAAGGTGCCTATTGGGATTGACACGGTAATATGTCCTATTGAAACTGAACATTTGAACTGGATACTTTTCGCATTGTACCTACAACTACAAAGAATCCGACTAATTATGAGATAAAATGATACTAAGAACTGGTAATCCAATATCCTGAGAGCGCTGCTACGGGTTGGCGACCGTCCCAATATGTACCCCAGTTTAGAACCAAAGAAACTAAATTGAAACTAATCAAGAGATATTTCCGACAATACGAACGAAAGTTAAATGCGTCATAAAACAGTCACTTGCATTAGGTACTAAAATAACGGCATTTGTAATGAAACATTGTTCCAATTTCATATAATAGTGTGTACACATAAAATCACAGTTTAATGTGGACGAACTCTGATGAAACGTGCGATACGCCATATTTTATAGTTGAACAGACGTAATAAATTAGAAAGTTGTAAATTGTTTATATCTGACAGGATAGGCAAGCAATATATAGATATATACTATCTTGGATACTTCTTGGATGTTATCAGAATTTAACCGCGATTCGACAGAGAACTAAAGTCGATATAGCCCAACAAAGGATTATCAAGGTGAAATGGTCACACGGTCACATCTGTCGGAGAACCGAAAGACCGTTGATGTAAGCTTGTTCTAAAGTGGACACTACTACTAGGCAACCGCAGTGTAAGGCGTCCAGCTATGTCGAGGAACTATATCTACAGGAAAAGGTTTTCAAGGTTACCACTTAGCAGCGGTGTGATGTAAAGAGCTAAAAATTAAACTTAGTGGCTCGTCTTTGTCTGCAATATTGGCTTATGGGAGTGATGGGCCACACTGTTTGATACATGGAAACAGGCTAATGATAATGCGATACGAACATAATACCATGTAATTTTTCCTTAATTACAAATGGCCCTTATGAACCCACCCCTACTGGGTTATCCCAGTGAGCTAATAATGGCTCTTTTTCCGACTTTCGTACTCAATTTTCGCTTTCACAGTAACCGTTTGATAGTTGTCATAGGAACTCACTTAGCAATGAATTTACAACCACATTTACACAAAAACATCTTCGATATCCATCAGGCGTCTTCAAACTACCATTTAGTATAATACAGAATTACACACAGTGTTGCGAACTTACGACTTAATCTTAGTGAACATTGATCTTTCATTAGTTTACTAATGACTGCACAAGTCACTGTTCGTAGCTCTTAATCTCTCTAGTTAGACTTCAGAGGGTTACGTTAATCTTACGTACTCAATAAAGCTTAAATGGTTGTAGGTACCTTGAAACATATAAAGGACTTTTCTGGTCTGAATATGTTAACTGAAAATAAGGAGTACAGTAGATAGAATTTATAAAGTAAAACCTTTTTTAACGCTCTCTTTGCTCTGCTAATGCTCTGCAATGGCTGCCTCAATGGCCGAGTGGTCGCAAGTGCGAAGGGTCTCGGGTTCGATTCCCTGGTAGGGCAAAGTATTACTGGGTTGTTAAAAAAATTTTCAGTGGTAGCACGGAGTCTGAAATTGAGCCCGGCGCTGGCAATAGGCTCACCCCCTATTACATGGGACTCATAACATAAATAGTGAAAAGTGGGTGTTACATTGTACGGTGGCAAGCGTGATGTTATATTATGTTTTTTAACGCTAATGTTTCTGATGAAGAGATGGAATTCCCTTTTGACAATAATGGGCCTTCAGACAAGATCGAAATCTTTTTGGAAATGGAATATGCGTCTATATGTATAACTTAGCTATAAGTAAATTGAGATGAAGATAACTTTACATGCGAAGACCACACGGCTAGTTCTCATTGTCATAAAATCAGTTCCAATTTCCCGTCAAACAATTCGCACCCCTTTTACGGTTTGAAGTAGCGATCAGAATCGTTTGCGCCAAAACGGAAGCATTGACTGTCCATTGTTATGTTTCCCATTGTTTTAAGACCTTGTCCTTCATGATAAAAATATATAGTTTACGACTTTTACAATGTGATTTGTAAATATAAATCATAGACCAATATTGTCAACTGTATTATTGTATGTATTCTTCTGACTTTGAACTGTGTTATAAATGGAATGATATATTCGCATAGTTACTTTACTATACATAGGTAACGAGTAGGTATAATATCTACAAATCGCTTAATCCTCTCATAATCTTAATAAACTTTATTTCGAACCAAGTAAAGGCACTTCCCGCAAAAATTACGGCCGTCCTAACTACTATTTTAAAAGTTATCGCGCAGTTAGCACATAAAACAGTATTTATGAAAGCTATAAACTATAAATCTGTTCATTATAAGATTCAGTAAAGATTTTGTCTTCGTTATGAAATAACGTAATATATATAAATAAAAAATCTATTAATAATTTCTGAGGGTTTCTCAGTATTTCCGAAATAATTGTCCTTCCTTTATGTGAACAACTAGCTACTTCCGCGCGGTTTCACACGCTCTGCTCAGCTCCTATTGGTCGTAGCGTGATGTTTTATAGCCTATAGCCATCCTCGATAAATGCGCTATCCAACACAAAAACAATTATTCAAATCAGACTTGTAGTTACGGAGATAAGTGCGTTCAAACAAACAAACAAAAAAACAAACTCTTCCGCTTTACATAATAGTATATAAGTTAAGATTATGACAATAAGATAGTGTAACAAGAAAATAAATACTTACTCAAAGTGCAAACGGGACATTTCGTGGCGGTCCCGACTCCCGACACTGATTGATTTTCGGCCCTGCTGGAATTTGAACGGAACCAATGGATTGGAAATTTTCCCTGTCTTCCGTATCTATAGAATAGAAGTAATGTGAATTCGGTAAATTGCTTTATCGATTCCATAGCTAAAGATTTATATTTTATTAAGTTATAGACATTAGATGGAAATTTTTAATAATGAAAAGATCCCTCCTGGAAACTAAGGTTGAAGTTTTTACATCTGATTGCAGGTGATAACTGGACTAGATAACATTAGGATAGATGCTGCTGTATAGAAATGGGTAGATACTAATATTTTTAATAAACTATAATTTTGTTATTTGTAGGATTTCTTTAAAAATCCACCGACATCTCAGTTACAGAGACTGGCCGGCATTAGGAATCGATCATTAGCAGATGAAATGAAGCAGGTTGTTGTAAATTAGTGTGTTGTAAGTTAGTCCTCTTGAACCTAACATAGGTACCTATAGCATTTCTGTACCTATGTCGTCACTTCTGCACCACTTACATTTACATGTGATGTGTGTACAGTACCGTCTTTACTCGGGACCCGTGCCTAGAGCCCCTATCCTCAGGGGGCCCCGAAGGACCGACAATTTCTAGGAGGGACACTTTGCGGTTCGATATCCGCACGTAGCAAATCTTGTGTGATCCACGAACTGTTGTTTCGGGTCTGGGTGTCATGTGTATGTGAACTTGTATTTCTTTGTACCTATACTTGTAAATGCACCCACGACACAGAAGAAAATCCTAGTGTGGGGCAACGTTAAAAATAACATACCAAAAGGGTTATTGTGTTCCTAAGGGCCCCAGCGTAGTCTAAGACGGCCCTGTGTACCTATGTAGAGTAGTTTTACTACCCCAGCCAATAAATGTACCAACATCCAACATGAACTCTCTCCGTGAGAAATGTTTACTTTACTAAATTAAGTTTACGTCATGAATAAAACATGAGCTGGTTTTTGAAATGCAAGAGAGATGGAAATGTAATTTGATGGTCAGATACAAGTTGTCTAGTAGTTTGTGTACATGACGGACCAGAAAACTTCGACTCCATAATATGATGAATACCGAATAATCAGGTTTATATTCTAGTTAGAATATTTGGATTTCTAGCCTAATGTTATATAACGTCGTGTAAGTGAGGTTAACAGAGGCCCAAGACGCCGATTGCTTACCATCAAATGATCCGTCATCTCGTTTACCAGCTTGTCCCATAAAAATGCAATTCATTAAACGACTCTTAACGTCGCGGAGAACCTAACGGGTAACCGGGGCTCCGGCTCGAAGTGCAAGAGAAGGAACGGGGTGGTTTTTAGTAAGTAAGAGTCTGACACGCCCTCCCGTCTCACCCAGGCGGGAGCAGTCATTCGATGATTTTCCCCCCTTAAAAAAATACCCTATTAACAAAAAGCAGACGTCACCATATTTCATTATCTGATTGTAGAGGTATTCTATTGTTTACCCAATTTTCGAATAAAAAGTCACGGTACCTAATAATCGACAGTAACTATTTATGATAATAATATCTCCATCAAAATAAAGATTGCATCGTCTAAGTCCTCTTATAACGATTGTAATAGATAATTTAAATCACGTAGACCTTATCTATTGGAGCGAGTCAACACAGGTCTAGATACAAAGTCCGTGAGTCCTATGTTTCAAGGATAGAAAATTATGTTTCTACAAAGTTGACTAAAGAAGATGCCCAGGCCCTATTAATTTCCTTTCCAAAATAATTATTGGATTGTTTCTTGTTTATTATCGTCATTAGCATCCTGACATTGTTCTTACAAAAAATAAATGCCTATTAAAAATTAATTAATTAAAGCCCCTTCCTTTTTGCGCATAAACGATGGACCCAGTGTCGTGGCAACATAGGCGATTGCCTACGTAGCCCCACTATAAGGGGAACGTCAGAAAAGAAAAAACACATGTCACACACACATTAGATATTTTTTTTAAATACCATCATCCGCTTTAACTTTCTGCACCACCCATTGATCGACTGTCAGAGAATGCCTACGGCATTAACTCGTCGAGTACCGGTTTTGTAGACACAATTATAGAACAATAGGTTGCGGTCACCGGTGACCGCTTGGTGTTTGACAGTTTAAGTCCGCAAATTTCACAGTTTATGCGCAATAAAGTTTTAAATAAATAAACATCCCTCCTATATTCTTTCCAGGTCCAGTCTCTAATGCTGCGTAAGTCCCTGCCCTGCCCTCTGCCGGCGGTACCGGCCACCTTACTACTGCAGCTGTTTCCGTTTGGAGTGCTGCTCGACAGGAGAATGAAGATCCTGAAGGCTGGAGAAAGAGTAAGTTATAGCAAACACGAATAGTATTAGGTACTCGACTATTTTTTTACATAGAATGAATGAGAATGACGATCTACTTCTGAAGCTAGTAATGATAATACTTATATATAATTTACAGCTGGTAGCAGCCTGGGGTGGACCACTCAATCGCCTAGAGAAGTCTGCAATCTCTGAAATTTTACGCCTGAGGAAACCTAAAGTACCTTTTACGTGGGACAAGGTAGATAGTATTTGAGTTTCAAGTATTTTTCTTGATATTAAGTACTTGATAAATAAAGGTCTTGCATGAAAAACCAATGTTGGTTCCTCTATCATTTCAAAATCTCAGATGTCGTTAAATATTTTCTTCAGGTGGTGTGCATGCAGACCATGATCTTCGACTTAGAGTTGCTACGCTACCGCTCTCGAAACTGTGCTGAAGTGAGGAGGGGTTCACAAGGAGCACGCTCCATTCTTCTACGAGGACCTATCTATCTGCTAGAAGAAATAGACGCCCTCATATTTCTATGTAGTCCACTGTAAGTAGAAAATAGCTTTTTGATATATTTTTACTTCAATAATGCAATAATAAATTCTATTTATTTTCTAATTACAGTTTCAACGACCTCGATGAACTTCATCAAGCTGGTATTTTCCTAGCAGACATGAACGGTCATGGCCTTTCTAAAGAAATGCTTCTCCAAGGATGGCAGCACGTCTCTCGACTTGAACTGCTGTTTGAAAAGGCAGAAAACAGGAGTTTATCTTTAGAGAAGTCTTGTAGGCTTCTGGATCAGTGGAAGAAGCGGGGAGATCAATTGTTGTACTCTATGATACCGAAAGGTATTGCTGATCATCTACGAGCTGGGAAGGATCCTATGGCCGCTTGTCAGGTAAATATATAATTCAGCACTTAACCTTGATATTTTGATTCGACCTACTAACCGTTTAATAAAATGGTTTCAGGCGTTTGAAAACGTCACAATAATATTCTGCGCCGTACAACTGGCGGAGGCAGGTACCAGAGCTGACGTGATGCAAACTGTCGCCTACATGAACGACGTATACTCCAGGATCGACAGGCTGCTGGATACACATCGCGTTTATAAGGTAACTACTGTTGATCAATAAATTGCTCTACCTAATAAGTATACGTATATTTGCGAATAAATTCAGTAGGTACTAAATATGGATATATTTCAGGTGGAGACAGTGGGTACTGTTTACATGCTGGTCTCTGGAGCTCCAGAACGGAGACGTGCGCATGCGGCTGCCGCTGCCAGCGCTGCCCTCGCCATCTCACGAGCTATCCCCGCACTTACTATTGGTAAGAAAATTTACACTAACAACTAAGTAATCATTATTTTTCCTTATTGATTTCGTGATTTTTTTTTAGAATGATTGTAAATTGTATTGTGTTCAATTTGAACAGGAATCCACACGGGACCGGTCGTTGCTGGCGTGTTGGGACTGCGCCTACCACGGTACTGCTTAGTAGGAGACACCGTCAACACTGCCAGTAGGATGCAAACTTCTTCAGAGGTAAGTAGATTTTGTCATTTAAAGACTATAGGTATTAACTTGTGCAAAAATTCGTTCAAAAATTCAAAATTAAGTAATACTAAAGGTAAAGCTTTACCTGCCTTATTAGTCGACCTCAGCCGTTTAAGTATTTAGTCTTTTGCAATGTTTTGGGACACAAACTAGATCTCAAAAAGAAAATTCTGTTTTGCAGCCTGGTCGCGTTCAAATATCAGCAATCGCAGCAGACCAGCTACCGGCTGGAAGATTCAGGCTCCGCCGGAGAGGTCCTATCAAAGTGAAGGTAATAATAAATTTGTAATTTATAGATACGTCCCATTTTTATTTTGATTTCGTATCTGTAGCGATGAGTACTAATCTAGATGGTTATGGAGTTTGGTCTTTATTGTTATTAATTTCCACAGGGCAAAGGTACAATGGAAACATTCTGGTTGGAAGGTGAAGTGGAGGAGGAGGAACAAAATGAAGCACTGCAGCTGTTCTCAGTATTGTGTGGCGATAATTGAGCGTCACATAAGTGTGGACAATTTACCCGTAGATTCATTATTAAAATTCTATTTTCCATATGTATTATAGGTAAAGGTTAGTTAGTATAATATCTGTGTTAGGAGACACTTTTTTTCTGATGAGCTTAAGCTCAGTTACAAAGAGGTTCTGAAATATATGTAGTAGAGGTCGAACTATGTAGCTAGTCAATTAGTTTTGATCTTCAGGGAACCAGTGAATTTCCCTGGAATTTGGTTATATGACAATTCGAGGCAGCAAATATAAAAGGTAATACTTACTTATCTTTTTATTTTTTGTTGAGATTAATGTAAGTAAACTTGTTAATTTTAGTTGTCCTCCAGAATTAATTAATTTACTTGTTATGTAGATAAATTCTGTTTAATTAACTCTGAAATAGATAACCCACTAATGATTCTAAATAAGCCTTAGAATCAAAATCACGTTTTTATCCAATTAAACTCACGTTTACTCATTTCTTAAACAAACTATGTATGTACCTAGTTGCTAAGTAATCAATAAACGTCATATTCTGAATGACCACAATTAAATTTTTTATCGATTAGCACTAATTGATAACGATAACGATGACTTACAATCGTCATATTACATCACTAGTTATCGATATCAGTGTTTCGAACGATCGATTGATTGCTCTGATTCTCTGATTAGTGATTACATTAATTATTTGATATACGTATGTACCTCATTTAATTTATTCGAAGGACTTTCTATATTATTACGGTGGTTCTATTTATTTTTAAAGAATTGTAAAAAGGCTGGGAGATTGAAATCAAAATACATATTGCTAATGTAGTAATAATTTAATATCAACAGACGAATTAAATTCGTTTTAATTTTTTGTTGCTTTTTTTATAATTTCTTTCAATTAGGTACAATATAGTGTCTTAATACTAGGCTACATAATTAATATCAATCTCTAGTTTACATGAAAATTAGATATTCACTTTTGTAATTGCACATGTGTAAGTATCCGATTAATCGGTAAAATGTCGATCTCGATACCGACAACCATCTTAATTACAAAAGATTACATCTTCTTTTCATTAAACCGATAATAGTATTATCCTTACCAATAATAGTAGATACAATAATTATTTAAATTCATTTACAATCACAATAAAACAAAGTAAAAATAAAATACATGTTCTGAAACTTATCGTGCGTTCTTCATTATATTTGTAGACAAATAATAAAATGTGTTTATTAAAAATAAGTAACAAAAATTATTTATCTAAATTACATATGAAATCTGATTGTAAATTGGATTTTCTTGGAAAGTCAATAATATTATAAAGGATAATAAATTTGTTTGCTTACAAAGTGGTGTTCACATTTTTTTCCTGATAATGAGTAATATTCAAAATGGGTTTTAAATTGTGCAAATAAAATTATCACTTTTAAAAAACTATTTAAGTATTGTAACGCGGTAAACCGAACGCACGCGCGCTACTCTAGTGGCAACGCGCCACCACACTATTTCCCTTCCCCCGCTTCCCCGCCACTGACCGCTCGACACTTGCTAGGACGCGAGAGAACGAGTCCCGCGCCGGAGCCGTGACGCACGCGCTCCGTATTTGTGCCGCGAATATTTGAGTTTTACCTATATTGTATTATTGTGCAACTTTGTTTATATAGTTTATTCCAATATACAACATTTTACAGTCATTCGTGTGTCGAACTTTATTTCACGCCCTGAGAACCCACCACCAAGACAATCTTCAA